GGTTGCTGAAGAACTACTGAGAGATTTCAGCTGCTGTTTGGGCTTCCACTGCCTTTCTACACCTCCCTTCATGTGTTCAATACATTTTTTTGTGTCATTTCAATTTTCACGATACATAACGTAATTAACGTAACTAGTAAGTTTTGTCTTCTTGGCAGATATGGATTTCTTTTTGTTATCAACATCCGGTTAAAGTCAACAGCACCTTTAGAAATACGTTTTCTGAGATAAATGGTGACGTGTTCAATACTTATTTCCCCCACTGTATCAAACTATCTATTTGTGCTTAATTGCAGCAGTTTCTTTACATTCACTTCTCTAAAAAAGATGTTACCACTTCAGCAAAATCTGTATCCCAAAAACTCATCCCCTTCCCAAATGCTCTCTCAGATGACAGATTTCCATTTTCTGTTCTTTCTTGATGTATGTACATTTCCTGTGTCTTCCAGCCCCGTGATCCAACAGATGACTGGTCAGAGCATATCAGTTCATCCGGAAAAAAATACTATTATAATTGCAGAACAGAGGTCTCTCAGTGGGAGAAACCTAAAGAATGGCTGGAGAGGTGAGTTGCTTCAGATTTTCTCTTAAGTGCCTGTCCTCCTCCTCAACATCACCTGACACCACACTGTTCATCTGAACAGAGAGCAGAGGCAGAGAGAAGGTGCCAAGACGATGGTTAACAGCTTTCCCAAAGACAGAGATTATAGACAAGAAGCGATGCAGGCCAGTGCCACAAGTGCCCTCAGTAGTTCAAGTAAGTGTTTGAAATGCATTGCTTTGGTTTCTTTGATGATTGAGATTTGTTGGGCGGGTTATTTTGTTTGGTGCGTTCCAGACTTCGCCTCTTTATGATTTTCTTTTTCCATGATGGCTAAAGAAAGCACCCTGATTGGTTATTCAGCAACAAATCGGGGTGCGAAAACTAAAAACTGAAGTGACGTAACCAAGTAAACAATTTGAGTCAAGAAGGAACACAAAGAAGCCGGCTGTAATTTCGCTAAATTTATATATATATATATATATATATATATATATATATATATATATATATATATATATATATATATAGAGGGGGGGGTGTGTGTGTGTGTGTGTGAGTGTGTGTGTGTGTGTGTGTGTGTGTGTTTTTTTTTTTTTTCGGGGGGGGGGGGGGATATATAAACAAACAGAGAGTGTGCTTTCTCTTTCTCGCGCAAAAAAAAAAAAAAAAACAGAGAGAGAGGGTGGCTCTCACACAAAAAAAAAACACTCTGGCTGGGTGTGTTTCATGCGTGTGTGTGTGCGTGCGTGCGTGTGTGAGTTTGTTATAGACATACATAGATATATATATATATATATATATATATATATATAGAGAGATAGATATATACACACACACACACACACAC